TATATATATATATATATATATATATATATATATATATACAATATATGTATATGTATGTATGTACTGTATGTCTGTGTCTTCAGAATATTTCCAAGCATATTTGTATTAGTATCTTTAATCAGCTGGCAGCGGTGTGGGTTTTTTGGTTCTGCTTGTGGTCTTGTCAGTTCAGTTGTAGGCTCCACAGTTTGGCTGAAGATGGATTGTGTTCAGACTACAGTGTGTATGCAGGTAAATGTGGTGCTATCCAAACGTCCAACAGACTCCTTGTTTGAACTTTGATCCAGAACTTCTTGCAGCTAGATCTTTGAGATCCTTTGTTTAAATAAAGCACTCTAATTTTTAGCTTATAGTCTGCAAAGGTTGCCATTTGACACAGACAATAACTCCTAATTAAAACTGTGACATTGCCACAACATCAGCCTTTATCAAACCCACTTTCCACCCCAGCCTGGTCACCATCAGCCCCATCGTCTCTCCTAATTCCAGCTCTATTGACGGGACTTGAAATGCATGCAATGTGACCCTGAGGTTGATTGAAGTGAAGTGAGAGATAATAACTTTGCACAGCAGCGATGGAGCTTCTTTGACACACTGATGAAGTGCTGCTAATTGCCAAGTGCCAATGAGAAGTGCTCCATTAATGCACAAGAAGAAATATATAAATAAATAAATATCCAAGTGCTGAGGAAAAAAATAGCATGCTGACAGATTCACTTAATCCATTTTGTTACAGGTGAAGACGAGTCGGATTCCAGGTAATGTGGTGCTCTGGGGCCAGAATGCCACGCTGATGTCGAATTTCAGACGTGGCGATTTACTAATTAACAACTCGGTGTTTGCTATGGGAACTGAAATACGCTTTCCTTGAGAACAACCATGAAATTGTTTTTTTGTACTGTCTGGTTATTTCATGCTCCTTAATGTAAGAACAATGCTTTAATGCTAATGTTGAGATGTCTTGTTCTGCTTTATTCTTTTCACACTGTTGTACATTTGTTGACTGCTGGTTTCCTACCTGATCCCTGCTAATGCTTCTCTAACCTGCGTTTACTTTACAGACAGCTTTAGGTTTCAAAAATGTAACCATACAACATCTAAATAACTCATAAATCTGTTTAACATGTCAGTAAATTTTTGTAAAAGAAAAAAAAGCATTTAAACTCCAGGTAACTAGAATGTTGTTAACCTGTCTAACCGAACAAACCAAACCAAAAGAAAAAGAAAAATCAAGTTCTTCCTGTCCTAACTAAAGATGATTTAAAGTACATTAACCTGTTAAACATTTGCAGTGTTGCCCTTCTAACCTCTAACTTTTCAACTTCCAGATCTGCTTTTTTAACCTTTCTCAATTTGTCTTCTCCAAATTTCTTAAAGGGAACATTGATAATGAGCGCCTGGCACTTGCTAGACAAAGAATCCCCTTCCGATATGGTCGGGTAGTTGACGAGTGGCTATACGAAAAAGGTAATAAAATCCCTTTAACTCCACTAATGGTCTAACTGCTAACCCACCAATAACCACATCTCTGGAGGAGGTGCAGTGCCATGCAGCAGGGGCGAATGTGATTTGGCTCATGAACTTTAAAACTCCAGGTCCCCCATGAACTAATAAGAAGTGGATAACTCAACAGAAATATGGCAATATTTCCTGTTTAGTTGGACTAAGAGTCAAAGCTGTTCAGATGCAGTAAGTGGCATCCAGCTAAAATTCAATGATACTTTTTGAGACTAATGCCTTTCTCAAGCATTGGTGTGCTTGTATCAAAGAGTCCTTATCTGAAGCACCTTAAACTGGGGCTGCATCTCTTCAGAGACCTAACCTCCAAATAACCCAACATAACCCTCTAATAACCTGACCACGTCGAAACAGCCTTCTGCTTCTTTCCTGTGTCTTTTGTTGACTGAATGTTAACATGTACTGAACACGTTCAATCATTCATTGAAAAAATACAACAAAAAAAAGTATGATTCTCATTTGATCTGGTAGAACCAGACTCCCCACTCTCTTCCCCCACTGAAAGTCACTAAAAGTTAAAGGGACTGATGAGGTGTTTGCTTTGTAGTAAATCTATAATTGCTGCACTATCTGGGTGCCGTTTACTCATCTTGTAGGATGCATTAAGAGCACCCTAAGATTTGAATGTGGTCCCCATCAAAGTGATTATTCTTTAACCCTTTGAGTGGCGAACGTCCCAGCCTCTTTGTCCTGTGCCGTGTGTTTGTGCTGCTGAAGGTGGTTGATTCTTTAAAAAGAAGAAAAAAGACATAATTGGAAAAACGCTACATCCCTACAGGGATGTCTGTAGATATGTTTGAGCTGTATTTTGCATTATCATAAATTAAGCATTTCAAGACAGTTGGCTTTAGGGGTTCCCTTAAAATAGTTCTGTAAACTTCAACGCATGCAAGGATGAATTCTAAAGATAAAATCTGTCTCCAAGAGACAAATCATGAAGTATTCATGCAACAGACAAACAAGCTAAATGAACTGCATGCATATTTATTTCACAGAAACAAAACAGTCCTTGCAGTCATATCTAGCTCACATCAGCTGACTTCTTTGCTCCCCTGTGGTGAAACAGCAAATACATTATTGCTGAGACTAGTTAGGACCAAATCCCTATTCAAAAGGATTAAGAGATTAAAGGTAAATATCAAAATGGGTCGACAAAAATGACTTATCCACTTATGAAATAATTTGTGTAAAATAATGAGCTTAAATTTGAATACAGTTTCCCATTGTCTTTAAAATTAAATAGGTCATTTAAATAGGAACAATTGGTATAAACAATTGGAGGGCGTAAGCATTACGTTTTACATTAAGGCTTTGATTTCAAGGAATAGTGTAGTAATGTTGAAGAGAATTGGAGACATTTTCGAGCTCAAAGGGTTAAAGAGGTTTGCTTTTCCAAAATGAGGTGAATAGGATCTAAACCTAAGGAGCTTCAAAGCAGAATCTAACCACCTAGCAGCAAACCAAACTCCACACTAACCACTGAGGGCTTCTCTTGTGTCTATCCATCCCCTGTGATCTTGAATTGGGAGAAATTGGCTAACTTTACCAGTGTTACGTTGCTGGTGACAAATTGAGAGAGCCCTCAGTTATAACCATGTTATAAATTATGTTTAACTTTTAAACCAAATCTGGATGGATGTTAGTGTTTGGAAGAACTTGGACAGGTCACAATGATCAATGAAGAACTAAACAAGAAATTAAACATGTTCTAACCCCCGCTAAATGAAACAAATCCCTAAGTGACACTGAATTCACATTTTCATCCCCTCCGTTTAATGCTAAACTCAGAGGGTTAAAATTAAGCAAATGGCTGAATCCCAAATTTAACACATCTGCTCGAAATAACTACAGTGATATGTGTATAAACCAAGGTCCCTTTAACATTTATTGTTTTCATCACAGAGGAAATGAAAATGTTGTTTTTGTGTACTCTTGTGTGTGTATACTGTATTGTTAAGACCTCTTTTGCACTGGATGATGACCGCTCGACAATCTACAACCAGTAAGAGTGTGGCTTGAATACAGCAAATGTGAAGAACCTGCTTCAGTGTTAAGGCCGTCATGACACTGCTATGTTCTTTGTAGTTGGCAAATATTTACAGTGATGCTTGAAAGTTTGTGAACCCTTTAGAATTTCCTATATTTCTGCATAAATCTGACCTAAAATATCAGATTTTCAAACAAGTTCTAAAAGTAGATAAAGAGAACCCAGTCAAACAAATGAAACAAAAATATTTTACTCTATAAATTTCTTCCATCCATCCATCAATCCATTATATTCCGCTTTTTCAAAAGTCAGGTCGTGGGGAGAGCTTGAGCAGAGAGGCCCAGACATCTCTTTTCACAGACACCTCTTCCAGCACTTCTGGGAAACTTCAAGGCATTCCCAGGTTAATCAAGAGACATAATCTTGGCTGTCCTGGGTCTTCCTTGGAGTCTCCTCCCAGTCAGACATGCCCGAAGCTCCTCCGTGGGGAGGTGCCCAGGGAGCATCCTTACCAGATGCCCAAACCACCTCAACTTGCTCCTCTCAATGGGGAGGAGCAATGGTTCTATTCAGTCTCTCCTGGATATCAAAACTTCTCACCCTATCTCTAAGGGAGAATCCAGCTACCCTGCAGAGGAAACTCATTTCAACTGCCTGTATCTGTTATCGCATTCTTTCAGTCACTACCCAGAGTTGAGGCAGAACCTCACCCTCGACTTGAAGAGAGCTTCTTCTTTTTCTTCTTTCAGCTTTTCCCTCTTCAGGGGTCACCACAGCGAGTCATCCTCCTCCACCTCACTCTGTCACCTCTGTCCTCATTCCAACTACCTCCATGTCCTCTCTTACTGCATCCATATCGTCTCTTTGGCCTTCCTCTTTGTCGTTTTCCTGGCAGCTGCATTTCTAACATCCTTCTACCAATGTATCCACTGTCCCTCCTCTGAACATGTCCAAACCATCTCAGTCTGGCCTCTCTAACTGTATCTATCACTTGTTCAACCTGTGCTGTACCTCTGATCTCATTCCTAATCTTATCCATCCTTGTCACTCCTAAGGAGAACCTCAACATCTTCATTTCTGTCACTTCCAGTTCTGTCTCCTGTCTTTTTGTCCATATCTTGTCTCCAGACCATACTACATAGCTGGTCTCACCACTGTCTTGTAAACTTTTCCTTTGATCTTTGCTGACACCCTTTTGTCGCAAATCACTCCTGAAACTTTTCTCCATTAGCTCCATCCTGCCTAAACTCTCTTTTCACCTCTTTACCACATTCCCCATTTTCCTGAACAGTGGACCACAAGTACTTGAAGTCCTTCACCTTTTTGACCTCTGCTCCTTATAGCCTCACTGTTCCACCAGTTTCCACCTTATTCACACACATGTACTATGTCTGACTACAGTTGATTTTCATTCCTCTTCTTTCAAGTGCATACCTCCACCTCTCCATATTCTCTTTCACCTGTTCTCTGTTCTCAACACAGATCACAATGTCATCTGCAAACATCATAGACCCCAGGATTTCCTGCCTGACTTCATCTATTAGTCGGTCCATCACCAGAGCAAACAAGAAGAGGCTCAGAGCCAATCCTTCATGCAATCCCACCTCCACCTTGAAGCTATCTGTCACTCCTACAGCACATCTCACCACTGTCCTGCTGTCCTCATACATCTCCTGTACCAGTCTGACATACTTCTCTGCCACTCCAGATTTCCTCATGAAATACCACAACTCCTCCCTCAGCACCCTGTCATATGCTTTGCTAAATCCACAGACACAATGGAGTTCTTTCTGACCCTCTCTGTACTTCTCCATCAGCATCTTCAAAGCTCACATACTGCTGCTCACCTCTCATCTAAGTCTTGCTTCCACAATTCTTTCTCATATCTTCATGGTGTGACTCATCAACTTAATTCCCCTGTAGTTACTACAACTCTGCACATCACCTTTGTTCTTAAAACTGTGCACCAGCAAACTTCTTCTCTATTCCTCAGGCTTTTTCTCACCCTCAAATATGCCATTGAATATTTTTGTCAAAAACGTCAGTGCCATCTCTCCAAGAGATTTCCAAACCTCCATTGGTATGTCATCAGGTCCTACTGCCTCCCTCTTCTTCATTCTTTTCAGCGCTTTCTGGTCTTCAGTCTCACTAATCTTTCCCACTTCCTGGTCCACAGTTTATATGAAATCTACTCTTCTTTCTCTTTCATTCTCTTCATTCATTAGCTCCTCAAAGTACTCATTCCATCTTCTCATCACACCCGCCTCACTTGTTAGAACATTACCATTCCTATCTTTAACAAGCCTAACCTGCTGCAAATCCAAAAAAGTTCAATCTGGTCCTCTGGACATTCAAAAAAACAAAAACTAAGCAAAAAAATATATAGAAACGTTTTGTCTCTCATCCGAGAGACTTCCTCAGTCTGAGGTGCTGTATTCAGCTCAGTCTCTTAAATAGCACCTTCTCAGAGCAAATCTGCAAATCCTTTCCAGCCTGATCCCTCTGTCTCACCAATCGGTACAAGTCCTTCTCACCCTCTTTAGTGTCAAGCTTCCCATACAACTCATCATATGCCTTGTGCTTTGCCATTTCCGTCTCCCTCTTTGCTGTACACTGCATCCTTCAATTCCTGTCTCCTCTCTTCAATCCTCTCACTGTCATATTTCTTCTTGGCTAACTTCTTTCTTTGAATAGCTTCCTTCACTTCACTATTCCACCATTAGGTTTCCCTACCATCCATTCTTTGTCAAGATGACAAACCAAGTACCTTCCTATCTGTCTCTCTAGTTACTGTTGTTGTAGTAGTCTGGTCATTTGGAAGCTCTTTCTTATCACCCAGACCTTTCACAGCTCCTCTCTGAATTTCTCACAACAGTCTTCCTTCTTCAGCTTCCACCATTTGGTCTTCTTCTCAGATTTTACTCTTTTTCTATTCACAACAACAGTCATTCTACACGCAACC